TTTTTTTTGCTGTGTAGAAACACCCTAAAACAGACAGACTTCATCAGCTTATCCTCGCTGGAGATGAAGAGGAGGTATTCCGAGTTATCAGTAAAGCCGGGAATACCGGTGAGTGCCATATGTAGGTGTTAAAGTTAGAACCACCTTGTACAACACCACAATAACGATCTGCTCGGCAGCTTTTAACTCTACAGATTCAAAAGTAAGTCAGTTTTTTAGTAAACTGAACCACAGGAAAGTATTGCTAGGTAGCTCTGATTTGAATGGTTGCACAAGGGGATTTCGTTATTGTTTTTGCAAATGCATACATAACGAAAAATTGCTCAGATATTACAAATATAATACAAAACCAAAGTCGAAAGGAAACCACAAGGCTTATGAGGAATAGGCTTCCACAAAAAATATTTTACCGAATGATTAACTGAAACATAACAGGTCAAAATCAATGGCAGAGCTACTTCACATTAAAAAATAAAATATTAGAGGTTTGTATCAAGCGTGGTTAGGGTAAACAGCAGTGAACGAAAGGGGAACTAAGTGAAAAAGAAAGCAAAAAAAGACTTAAAAGAGCACCAAAGGAAGGTACTTAGCGCATAGTAGCCTTAATATTAGTTGGGACACAAGGTACTTTTTTTCCAGAGCTTTGAACAACACACGTAAAACACGAATTATAAACTCAACAGTAAATGTGAGAACTACATTGAAAAGTATAATAGATAGTTTTACAGGAAATCACTGCCCAAGAGCAGTATTGAAGCCGATGACGGGGATTCATCAACCAATAATGGTATTCAAGGAAGAAAGAAGCTACAAAGATGTAGCACAACGCTAAGCTTGATTATTAACTAAAGGCCTGATACTACAAGGGACTAATATAGAACTGACTGGTTCTTTTTTTGTGTTTTTGTACCTATAAGATATAAACCGTCAAGACAAGTCCGGTAAAACGCCCCTTCACACTGCTATCCTGTCAAAGCAATTCCGGATTGTTGACGAGTTACTGGAAAACAATGCTGACGTCACACTAACTGATGACGCTGGTGATACTCCTCTACACACTGCTATTCATGTTGGGAGTCAGAGACTGGTCCTAGTGAGTTTCCTAGGCTATTTTCTTATAGGGAAGTAGATTGTCTGAAGCAACTTGGAAATTGTGAGGACCTGTGTTTGTGAAAGAAATTTTCAGAAGGGTTTAGAATGTAAAAAGAAAAAAACACAGTACTTTAGTCCTCCAAATGAGTTGTGTAAAAACTAGGGATAACTTTGTTTCCTTGCCCTATTTGCACAATAATGGTGTCCTAATTTCTCCCAATCTTTTTTCTGTGCCCTAATTGAACCTGCAAGAACAAGCCCCGTTGTTATTCTTGTTTTGGGAAGCGATCTGTTGACTTGGGTATTACATTCTAAATGATGACTCTAACACGTCACGTGATGATGGATGACTGCTACAAGGGTCTTAGCAGATAAGCTATAGGCACTTGCTGAGAACTTTAACTTAAGAACCAATTTTCTAAGAAACGTTTCTAAGAAATAAAAGGAGCTGAAGTATTAGAAAGTTTTTTTTGAAGTATTATAACGACTGTGGATTTAACACTTTCACTTTGTTTACCTCATTGAAGACTCTTCTCCAGCGTGGTGGATGTGACGTTCATAGTCTCGGAAGGAATTCTGCAACGCCCCTCCATCTCGCTGCTGCCATGGACAATGATGCAATTTGCAAGATTCTGGTGAGATTTGTGTGATAATACATCAAACAATTGGCTCTTACCATCTCTAGTTTTGGGACTGGCGATGTTCAGTTTGATGTACTTTATACATATCTGTACCTTAACAAGGGGTTTTACATGACAATAAAGTTTATTAAGCGTGAACAAGTCAAAAATGAGAACCCGGTCTACTAGAAGCAGTAATTTGAGTAATGGAGCAGATGAAAGCAAGGTTTAAACTATGCTAACATCCAGTGCGAGCTGAAGCAGCTATTTTATTGGGATTCTTGTGCGTTACAGCATTCAGATTATAGTCAATTAAACAAAACTGTTCTCATTTGAGGTCTTGCATAAGAAGGAAAACGATTGAGGGAGCGTGCTTTTATAAATCTTCTGTCAGGACACAAGCCATGCATAACTACAGTGAAATATTTAAGCAGTTTGTCAGTTTGGATATGTTATTCGACGTCCATGACTTGAAAGCTAGTATTTACGAAAATTTAGTTGTTGCATGACATCACGTATAGGTCTGACCAATAAACCTGGTATTGCACTTGGAAATTAGTAAGAAGTTATGTTGTCATTTTGTCGCAGAGAAGAGTGACTGCACCGCCAAGTCTGTAGTTAATCTGTATTATTTTGCCTCACAGGTTGATCATAACGCCAGGCTCACACCACTGGATAATGATAGGATGACACCGATCGGCCGAGCTATCGAAAGAGGAGCCAGCAAATCTGCTCGCTATCTGCTGCAGATTGGTAAGTTATCCAACTAATTCTACGGAAGAAATTTTCAGCAACTGTTGTATTTATCTCCTTTTTTACGCCTAAGAAGGTCAATATTTTTCCTACGGCCATTATGATCACTTTGCGGTAGGAATAAGTGAAAGTGAATTTTCAAGTTCAGATTCGAATTGCGATGATATTGTTTTAAATTAGATGATATAATCAATGCTATATCTGACAAAAAAATCTGTCAGGCTAAAGCCTCATTCACACCAAAGTTTAAGTTCAGTTAAAAACGATTTACATTGTTTTTTTCATAAAAGCTTCTTACTGACTTTAGTTGATTGCTAATATTTAGTGCAATTACAGAACATGTTGAATTTTATTTGGATCCTTC